CTAGGAGAACCATCGGAAATAGCCGAATTGATGTTATTCCTGGCAAGTGACAAAGCTAGAAGCATAACCGGCTCGAACTACGTCTCCGACAATGGAATGTTGCTGCTCAGATGAAGACCGCACTAATGATTTTTCCAGAATTATTTTTCGATTGAATAAATTATCTTAACGAAATTTGTACTCTAATTAAAGTATTTTTTATTACTTATGACGCCTTTGCAGCAAACTTTAGTGATGTTCTTACTGGTGGTAGGACCTCTTGTGAGTCCGCACGGGTAGGTACCAACACCCTGCCTATTCCTACCGTGAAGCAGTAATGCGTTTCGGTTTAAAGGATGGGACAGTCGCTGTACTGTAAACACTGAGACATTAGATCTCATATCTCTAGATGTGTGGCAGCATTTACATTGTAGACGTCTATGGGCTCCATTAACCGCTTAACACCAGGTCGACTGTGAGCACGTCCACCCAACTAAGCAATAAAGAAAATTAAATAAAACATTACCCGTCCACGTTTAGCCGGAATAGCTCCTTAAGCTCTATGCGAATAGGTGAAGGAAAAATAAAAAATAAATAAAAAAAAATTTCATTTGCAATATGTAGTTGAAAAAATGCAATTCGCAATCAGTCCAATAGATCACAGGTCAGACAGAGTAATTCAACAATTTAAATATAAATATAATTTCATTATAATTATTATAATCTATCTATCTTCTATAATATTAAAATGAGTTGCTGTTCGTTAGTCTCGCTAAAACTCGAGAACGGCTCGACCGATTTAGCTAATTTTGGTCTTGAATTATTTGTGGAGGTCCAGAGAAAGTTTAAAAGGTAGATAAATATGAAAATGCTCGGAATTAAATAAAAATAACAATTTTGTTTTTCCTTTGATGGGTAACCCGTCGGACGGATTCCTTTTGTTTGTTTTATGTTTATTTTATACAAAAGTTTAGGTCTTTTATTTATCGATTGAGGCACTACGAAGTATACATACCGGGTCAGCTAGTTTCATTATAATTATCGTATACAAGACCTCGTCGTAAGGAATTTAAAAATTTTTATTGTTTAAATTGTTGATTAGACTCACGGCCTTATGTTTATTGATTACCGGAGCCCTATTACTGTAAAGCGTTACTCGGTGCTCGATGCTTAAAGCCATTCCATGCATCGGCGATTGGAGTCCGCACGGGTAGGTACCGCCACCCCGCCTATTTCTGCCGTGAAGCAGTAGGTAATGCGTTTCGGTTTGAAGGGTGGGGCAGCCGTTGTAACTATACTGAGATCTTAAAACTTATATCTCAAGGTGAGTGGTGGCATTTACGTTGTAGATGTCTATGGGCTACAGTAACCATTGAACATCAGGTGGGCTGTGACCTCGTCCACCCATCTAAGCTATATAAAAAACAACCCCGCATTTGTTTAACACGACTTCGAACGAACATTGAAATCCATAACAAGACCCATAACAGGATTTTATAGTAAGTTCGTTTGGGTCCAAAAACTGGTAGTGGGACGTCTTGTGAGTCCGCACGGGTAGGTACGACTATTCCGCGTATTTCAGCCGTGAGACAATGATACAATTCGATTTGAAGATTGGGGCAGCCGTTGTACTGCTAAAAGTGAGACTTAAAACTCATCTTTCAATCCAGTCCATAGACACGCTCCACTGAGTTTCTCGTCGCAGCTAGTTGCAGATTCAGCGAAGCGCTCTTCTTGATAGCACTAGTGTTAGCAAGTCTTACCCAGTTGATCCCATTAGCTAACATATCAAGCCATGCATTGGCTCCATAGGTTATACGGCAGGCAGCGGCTTGGCTTTGCCCCTGGCATTCCTGACGTCCATGGGCGACAGTGACGGGGCCGTAAGCACATCTGCCTACAAAAGCAATAAAGAAAAGAAATAGGTTACCAACGATTAGGTAGGGAAAGATGGTAAGTTTGAAATGCTTCGAGAAAGAGTGCCTACTGATTTTCTCGCCTATTCTTCTCAGTGGGTAGCGTTTCCGATCCGGTGGTAGATTCTGCGAAACATGGCTCTTGCTAGGGCCAGTTTTAGCAACACCTCCGGCTTGAGCTCCGAGACCTCACCTACACGCCAGGGCAACGCTGATATAGCCAATCAAGGCTATAAGCAAAGGTAGGAAAAAAAAGGTGATGGTTTCGTGGGTCCTTTAACCCCTTTAGGGGTCTCGCAAGAGACTCGAATACCTGCCTTAATGAGACAGCTGTACTATCAGACCATACAACATAAAACCGTTATAAGTCTACAAGGCAAAAACATTTGACATTCTTTTTTTGTTTATTGTTACTATACGGTTTGCCCACACAACCCTCTGTTGTGATAATGATAACAACTCCCATATTAAGTAATTGTTTATTGATATGCTTACACTGATTGGTGACTGTTTATGTGATAAAAATGAGATTATGCCAGTACGCGACGCCTTGCTGATGGCGGTACACGAACCCGAGATTCTCAATTAGTCCTGTAATTAGATCAATACGTTGGGAAGCGGTCTCGGTGCATGTACGTCCTTTACAGGATTCTGATATCGACTTAGACCATTAATTAGTTTCATGTTCCATTCTTTTGTTGGTTTACTTCCTATTTGTATACCGAATTCACTACTTTTATTCTAATTTCTCGAGTTAATTCAATAAATTAACCCACTTTTCTTACTCTCATTTACTCACGTTAATTATCTTATTGTATCTGAGTAGCCTATAGCCACTTTACTATAAGTCCATAAATACCAGAACATCAATACACACTTTGATATAAAATGCATCGGTATGCAATATGATGTGCTCGCTGGCCCGTACAGTTAGACTATGAATTTAGGTTTATTTTTGCGATCAGTTAATGGTGAATTGGACATCCCCAGCCTAAGAAATAAATCCTAATAGTCTCTTTTATGTAAGCACCTGTCATTTTGTGTATTTGACATTGGCAAAATCAATGCCTAAGGCATTGGAGCCGTTAAAAAAAACCCTAATAGTCTTTGGCTTAGTTTCAGGCTATTTTTATTCCGGAATTGGGCATGCTATCGATCATGCTGATTGTAATCTAAGTACACTGTAATTAATAATGTAATGACATGAATTTCGAAGATATGATGCTTTGTTATCGGTAAAGTACTAATATTTCTTGAATACATTTTGATAAACCATGAAATTAGGTTATTGAAATTTGAATCGTATTTCGTAAATGTTACGTATATTTTTTAATGTTTCTACAGTTGGAGATGTAGCCTAAGATTTTTGTTTCAATAGATATTTATTATCGAGTATCAGTTTATCACATACATTTACATTTAAAACGTTAGTGAGAACACATGGAGGTTCGTTTTTTATTTTATTTTATTTTAACCTTTCTCCTTAACCACCATCCATGTCATTATGGATCCTCCCGATCCATTAAAAGTAGGTACCTCAAGCAGCGGTCACCGTCCTCGCCGAACCCGTCGTTTGCGATGAAGGGCTCGACGAGTAAATTAACCCACAGACACATCCCACTGAATTTCTTGCCGGATCTTCTCAATGGGTTGCGTTTCCGATCCGGAGGTAGATTCTGCGAAGCACTACTCTTGCTAAGGTCAGTGTTAGCAACACCTCCGTTTTGATCCCCGTGAGCCCACCTACACGTCAAGGAGAAGCTGAAATAGCCTCTCGAGGCTATCAGCATAGGTAGGAGAGAAAAAAAATACCATTACTACTTGAACTTTAAGCCTTCTTAGAAATAGTAACTGCTATCTCTCTTCCTTGCGTCAATAAGCTTCAATGCTGAGAGCCTTTGAGGGAACTTTCTCCTGGATCTAAGTGGTGGATTGAGGTGGTAGGACTGAGATAGAGGATATCTGGTCCGATCTATATCTGGTCTAGGTATATCCGATATCTGGTCAGCCCTTGGACTTCTCCCTCGAAGCAGTTGCTCTTGAGTTGTTAGGTCTCCTTCGGAGGCGCTCGGGCAGCTTTTAGCAAATCCCGCCCCTCCTGGCTGAGCCTTTGCTCGCCCATCTGTCCTGATGAAACAGGAAAAGCCTCCGGGCCACCAGTAATCCTTCAATCATAAAAAAAGGACTTCTACCTCTGGACCTTCTTCTGCATAACTTGCGTATTACCAGCAGGTTTCCTATATTGTCTTTGGACAACTCGAAACTACGCGCTGAGTGGTATCGAAATCCTAAGCTCGGTAAGAATAGATTCGTTGCTGCTTACTGGTGGTAGAACCACTCGTGAGTCCGCACGGGTAGGCATCACCACCCTGCCTATTTCTGCCGTGAAGCAGTAATGCGTTTCGGTTTGAAGGGTGGGGCAGCCGTTGAGAACTTATATCTCAAGGTGGGTGGCGTATTTACGTTGTAGATGTCTATGGGCTCCAGTAACCACTCAACACCAGGTGGGCTGTGAGCTCGTCCACCCATCTAAGCAATAAATAAAAAAAATCTTCGTTCTGTCCAATCAATTCCGAGTATTTTCCTCCAGCACCACATCTCAAACGCATCGATGAGTTGGCGGTCGGCTTTCTTGGCTTTGTACTAACTGATATGATAACCAGTAAAATGGGCGCGAAATTATTAGATGCGTCAAAGAAGCAGCGATTTTAATCCATTCTAAACAGTTATTACGAGGTCAGCTTCTCTTTCTGATTATCCTTGTAAGGATAACGGATCAAACTGCTTAAAATATTGAATTGTCATCAGTCCTTAATAAGTATGCCAAATTTAGAGTTAATCCGACGTTTTAAAAGTGGTCAAAATCATGTTCAAAGATTCCCTTACATACTAACATACGTATGAAGCTAATAAAAGCGTATTCATAAAATACATGGTAGAATTTATTAATAAAAAAAAAACCTTTTGTTTTTTACATAATACCTTGCATTGAAATTTAAAACCAACAAACTGTTTACAATAATATCTAATCCGAAAGTTGCATGAACTCTTCAAGGTCGGCACAGCACAGATAAGAAATGATATCTTATCCGTATAATTTTACAGACTAAAATGCCGGCGCGAAAGCGTATTAGTCTGGAGGAAGAGTATAGTAAGCCGACTGGTATCACTGCAGATGATATTGCCAAGCTACGCCAATGGTTGGACACTCAACCGCATTTGCCGAAGAACCTTACCGGTATGTTGAAATTATTTCACTGCGATTTGTACTTGGAAACATTAAGTAAAAATGTTTGTGAACATTTCAATTCTCTACGTTGGCTTTTTTTTTACCTAAGCTGATAGCCTTGAGAGGCTATTTCAGCGTAACCTTAGCTAGTAGGTGAGCTCACGGGGCTTAAACCGGAGTGTTGCTAACACTAGCCCTAGCAAGAGCAGTGCTTCGCAGAATCTACCACCGGATCGGAAAACGCGACCCACTGAGAAGATCCAGCGAGAAACTCAGTGGGCTGTGTCTGTGGGATCCTTTGGCTAAGAACTGACGATTACAACGCGGATGGATCGTATAAATTTCCATTGCATTATTTTACAATTATTCTTATTTATAATGCCAAGATGTTGTGCCAACTATTGCGTATTTGTTTGTATTCATAATTCAGCTGACATTAAATAAATTAATACAGAAACGAAGAAACAAATAAATATTTAAAAATAAGCAAATTAATAAATAATTAACGGTTCGTGACATCTATCTAAACAACCGTCTGGTGTAGTGGTAAGTGACATGGTCACTACACAAGGGGGTCGCGGGTTCGAATCCCGCCAAGGGAAGATATTTGTATGATAAATATATTTAAAAAAATGTCTTTTCCAGGGTTATGGATGTATATTAAATATATGTATGTGTATAATAAAAATATTACATTTATTTCCGTTATCCAGTACCTGTAACACAAGTTCTTTACGAACTTACCACGGGACCAGTTAACGTGGCGTGATTGTTAGTAAATATTTATTTATTTATTTATTTATCTGAGTGCGGGAGTCCGAGGGAGATAGCGAAATTCCATTTCACTTTTTCTTTTTCACATATCGAAGTGGAAACATAAGCTGTGTAAGGTAGTGTTACTGAAATTGAAGACGATTAGGCTACTCGAGAGACCTTCCCACATATTTCCACTATTCGTTCTGGTTCGAACGTTGGTATAACCGGTGTACAATTGATTAGTAGACCTCATATTTCAAGTTGGCTGGCGGCTACCGCGTTATGATCATCAGCCCTCCTCCTTGCGTCGTATTCCTCATTGCTGACGGTCGTGACCACCCTTTTGTATCACCTTCGCACGCACGATCTTTCTCCATCCATTCTTGTCTCTGGCGGTGTGGAGGGCGTTGTCAAAAGTGGAATCAAGAGCGGTGCGGATCTGATCGGACCAACGTGTTGGGTTACGCCCCCGAGGTCTTTTCCCATCTACCTTACCAGTCACAATGAGCCTCTCGAGATTGCTACCATCCTTCCGTGCAATGTAACCAAAGTATTCAAGGACTCTGCGAAGACACTCGGATGACAGCCGCGAGGAGATTTTGAGTTCTTGCAAGATTGATACGTTGGTCCGAAATGCTGTCCACGGAATACGCAGCATCTTTCTCCAGCACCACATACGAAAAAATCGAGAAGACTAGAGTCCGTACCAGTTTGGTTTTAGTCTTTACGGATATGTTGCGATCTCTCCAGATTTTTCCGAGCTGAGTCATGGCCCTCTTAGCCATACCAATTCTCCGGTGCACTTCCTTCTCGCACGAGCCATTGTTAGTGATGTTGGAACCCAGGTAGTTAAAATTGTCCACTATTTCTAGATCTAATGCGCCAGTGAGTTCCAATTTTCCAGACCTATCCACCACCATGACTTTGGTTTTGGACTTGTTTATGGAAAGTCGCATCTCCTTGCTTATCCGCTCCATTCGGTCTAGAAGCGCAACCATTTCGGACTCATTCGCTGCAAGAAGAGTAGTAGTAGAAGAGTAGTCATCGGCGTATCGCAGGTTGGTGATTTCCACGCCACCAACTGTAATGCATCCCTGATCATCAGCATCAACCACTTAAAACTTTTTAGGCCTTGAACTCATCATTATTACTGGTGATAAGACCTCTTGCAAGTCCGCACGGTTAGGTACCACCACCCCTTCTATTTCTGCCGTGAAGCAGTAATGCGTTTCGGTTTGAAGAGTGGGGCAGTCGTTGTAACTATACTGAGACCTTAGAACTTATATCTCAAGGTGGATGGCGCATTTACGTTGTAGATGTCTATGGGCTCCGGTAACCACTAACCACCAGGTGGACATGTGACCCCTCCACCACCCTAAGCAATAAAAATAAATCTGTCCATCTAGAGCAGTACAAATAAATAGAGCTTAATCTTAAAAGAATACGTTTAAACTCCGATAATCCGGCCAGGCTGTTAGGGCAACATAATAAATTGATTGAATTATCATCTTCTTCTTTTTCTCCACCTTATCCCACTAGGTGGGGTCGGCACAGCTAATTTATCTCTTCCATTATCTTCTATCAGCCGTCATCTCAACACTCACTCCTCTCTCTCTCTCTCATATCGTCATTCACACACTCCATCCATGTCTTCTTTGGTCGACCTCTTCCCCCTCTACCTTGCACTACCATTTCTATACATCTCCTGGTCATATGCATCTTCTCTTGTCATCTTGTCATCGTTTCTTGATAAATGTGCAAATTTTCAAGTTAATAGGACATGTCGAAGCTTGTAAATATAATTCTTAAAGATTCCGTTACATAGATAGTACTTATGTATGCGTCAACTTAATAAAATCATCTTAAAAAATGTAGAATAGAATATGATTTATTGCAGAATTTAATAGCAAATTTATGTTTTTTTTTTTCATATATCTCACACACGGTGCTATAAAGTCACTTATGCAATTTTTCTTAATTTGTAATCTGACGAAGCATGTTGCGGATAATAACATGTACTTTTAGGTTAGGAATATTGTGTTTTTTTTTTATAATAAATAAATTGACATTTAAATTTAAAAGAGAATTTTTCTTAACACTGAACCGAGTATGAGAAAATACATTTTTTAATAGTCATTAGTGAGACGAGAGAGATATTTGCTTTTACTGATAAAGTTTGAAGTTGCAGTTTAAATATCATCATTTTGTTTCTATAGCCTAGAACTATATAAGAATTATATAATAAGATGTTGAATTTTCCAACGTCTCTCCTGAAAAGTTACATAATTTGCATAAGTAACGTTATTGCACAGTATGTGCGATATGAATAAAACAAATACAAGGAGTGAGTCTTATCGCTAAGAACTATCTACCCAGTGAGTTTCTCCCCCTTCTCAGTAGGTCGTGATTTTGATCCGGTGGTAGATTCAGCGAAGCACTGCCTGTGAGCTCACTTATCGTTCCTCTCATAGCTGGAATAACCCCCATGGGCTACCGGTGATTCATCATCAGCCTGCGGCAGTCCACTGCTGGACATAGGCCTCCCCCAAAGCTCGCCACTGAACCCGATCTTCAGTTCTACGCATCCAGGATTTTATTTTAAAAAAAGCGTGGAGTGCTTTTCAGGATATTATCAAAATAACCCTTCTACTCATACCTGTTCATAAAATATTTATAACTACTGATACCATGCACACCACGCTTTTTTTTTACAATAAATCATTTTTTCTTACACTATTTTTAATTCAAATTTATTAAAATTTATTTTCTATTTTTTAGTTGGATTTTCTATAAAAGCGTATTTTGTTAGTTTTTTTAAACTATTATAATTTATTTTTATTTTTTTAGTTGCATTTCAATTTTTTGATATTTTTTTTCAATTTTTATTTTTATTTTGAATTGTCAACGGTCCTTAATAAGTATACCAAATTTCGAGTTAATCCGACGTTTTGAAGGGGGATCAAAATCATGTTCAAATATTCCGTTACAAACATACATACGTCTGAAGCTAATAAAAGCGTATTAAAAAAAGAGCAACATTTTCTAGACCGCCATCAGCTGGACAAGAATCATCAGGGGAAAGTAATTTGAAAGTGTTTAATGATTGAAAAAAAATACATTTACTATTTGCAATAGAAAGCAGACGCCGATAAATTAACGGAAGGGCTTTGATTGTGCCTTTCTATCTCAGAAAAACTACAAACCTCATTCGTAGAAATCGAAGAGAATGAATCAAATTTTACTAACTTTAATAAATAAAAAGGTGCGCTCTATAATTTAAAGAAAAAGGTACTCTACTGTTTACTTTTATTGTTTCTTCATCTTCCAGATCTAGATCTGATCCTGATCTACCACAAATGCGACCGCAGCATCCAAGTCTCCAAACAGGAGATCGATAATCAGTATACCCTAAGAACGTTGTTTACATCCTTCTTCAAGGACCGAAGCTTAAATAAGGATATTGAAAATTTCTTCCTGACCGCGTAAAGTATTGCCATATATTTTATCTTTTTCATATTGATACAATGAGGAATTCCCAATCTACAGTAGTCGACGGACGTCTATTTTAATTACTGTAATCTGTATCTGATGATACAATGAAATCCGTTGTTTTCTGTTACGACATTTTATTTTATATTAGACAATTATTTGTTAGAGTAGAGATGTTTAGTTTTGTATTTTTGATGAATTAAATGAAGTAAATTTGTAAAGAAGCAAGAAGCTTGTATAAATTGAATGAAGTAGGTAGAAAAAGAAGCGGGAATTGTTCCCTCGTAAAAATGTTAAGAGACAGATTATATTTAAATTACAGAGTAGTTAGCTTATTATAGATTATAGACGACACGCAGATACGGCAAAGGCGTTAACATAATCTAATTCCTTTCTTCGGTTACTGGAAAATCCATATTAAGACCAAATTCTCTAGTAAAAAATCGTATGGTATTTTGGGAGCTGAATTAATTTAATTCGATTGGATTTAATTGAAACTGAACTCCATTTGGAAAAGTACTCCATATTAGTTTGCATGAGCTGGGTGTATTCAAAATTAATTTTAACTGAGTTAGTTGAATTTTTCTACTGATAATTATAATTTCTAAATAAAACAGAAACAATAAACAATTTCGATATATAACTACCGTGAGTTTTCACGAGGGAAAACATGTATTAAAATGGTCACCAATATTGTCAAATACAAGTTTTTACCAATACGATTATTTGGAAGACAGCAAGCACTTAATTAGGCGAATATCACGTTGCTTATCACGTATAGTCAAAGTTAAGATATTATACAAATACATTCTAATAATAAATATGATTATTGAAAATTTATTATTACTGGATGTAAGGGGAAATACTTAACTTGACCTAATCTTATCAGCGTTTTCACAGAAAAGTTCTACATTCAAAAGTCAAACATAAGCTCTAAATTTCCATTCATCTTTTAAGACTATTGTTTCTTTCTTTAAGGCTCGTCACTATCCTGCCGAATCGCTCCAAGGGGGGCGATGCGATCTTTTACGCTAGGATTTTGGACACAGATGTCAATAAGTTCGACTTCGCCACCGCTGTTAAGTACGACTATTTTGTATTACTAATATTACCCTGCTGATATTTTTCTGTTGATTGACTGTGTTTTTTTTTTGTTGAGGCTAGCAATCGGGCGTTAATAACAATGTTAAAATTAGCTATTGGGGATGCTCACTAAATTCAATGGATGATTAAAATACTATCAGTGAAATTTTACTCGATTTAGATTCACTTAACATTCTAATATTCCTATTTCTGATGCGAAACTAAATTCCAATCACGACGCATTGTATGTATTAGCATTTATGTAGCTGATCTTATGTTTATTGTTAGAGCATTGTCTATTTTGGCCTCATATGACGTCACGCGAAATTTTATGTTCCTGACAATTTTTTTAATATTTTAGGCGCAAATTAAATCATTACAGATGAAAGAGTCTATAGTCGGATTGCGCAACAAGATTTCTGAAAATTAATAAAACTTCACCCATAAACAAACACCTCTGTAGTTTTTTCACTTTGCCTCTTAAGTAAAAAATACTCGGAGGTATTCTAGACTTATCCAATTTTATATATAAAGTCGAAGTCTCAATTAAACTATTACAATGGATTTTATGTCCTTCGAACCGGAATGTTGTCCAATGACGTGTCCTGCGTTTACCAAATTCACAATTTATGTAAACCTACCTCTCAACTCATATGCTTTTAATCAACCAGGGGTGTCTTTATGATGCTGGACCTATGGCAGTACGAGGAAGGAACATGGCCAGGACTGATTTTCATCTTCGATTTGCAAGGAATAAAAATGGGCTTACTGTCCAAATTGGACATACAGAATATACAACAGTTCGTAGCTTATTTCCCTGTAAGTTCATGTCAATAGTTAATGCCTCACACGAACATTGTGTTATGTTTTGAAGAAAATCATTCACGATTTTTAGGATGCAATATTAGCGAAATTCAATGGTCTGCACTTCATAAATACGCCCACGTTCATGGACCGCGTGAACACACTCACAAAAGCGTTCTACAAGAATGAGAATATTCAGAAATTCATCGTCCATCAAAACGGTAGCAACACGTTAGAGCAGATCATTGATATTGATATCTTGCCTAAGGAAGCTGGTGGCAAGTTTAAGAGCTTAGAGGAGTGTCAACGTAAGTACTCATGCGAAAGCACTATTAACAGTCTATAAAGAAAGGGCTTAGATTAGGGTTAAAAATACGGAAACGGTTCCAGATGTTTCTAAGGAAATACTAAGTAACATGAATGAGGTAGCAAATAGCTTCTAAATAGTTCTCAACAGATCAGGCGAGTTTTCTCTTCTTCAACCAACCTAATGCTGAGTGTAGGTCTCTTTATATGCACTCCATTATTCTCGGTCTCTTGCTTTTCGCGTCAAGTCCTTACCACCTATTTAGACCAGGTCGTTGGGCCACCTCATTGGCTGTCTGCCCACGTTACGACGTCCCTACTCAAGTACTTTTGTGCCCCATTGATTATTAGTGCAACGGCATATGTAGCTCACTATCTTCCACTTTCTCCGAGCAATCACTTTGACTCTGTCAGTCAAAGCAGTTATTCTGCGGATTTCGGTATTGCGACCCCTATGCCGTAGAGAAATACCTAAAATAGCCCATTCCACGGCTTTTTGCGTGATTTGCTTTGTGAACGTCCATGCCTGAGCCTCATATACCATCACAGGGAGAATAGATTCCGTCAATGTCCGATGCTTTAATTTACATAGGTATAATCCCCTTTAGCATCTCAGTCAGTATACCGAATGCAACCCATCCCAGCTGTCTGCCGCACTTTATCTTCCGTTTCTGGCTGGTTCTATCTGGACCAGCGGTCGGGTAACCGGGGTAAATTATCCCAAATGGGGTAAAATGAAATTTTGGGGGGTAAAAATGAAACTTTTGTGAGTAAAAAGTATATATTGAAATGAAACTTCTTTAGAATCGTAGTGATTTCAAACTCTATGAAACGAAATATAATAGCTATAAAATGAATAAAATATATATTATATAATATTAAACTTTTATTCTTAAAAAAAAATTATTTCTGATTGATATATAATCTATTCTTTTATTTTCCCGAAAAAAATAATTTAAATTAAAAAAGCTTTTTTATGAGGGCTATATATAAAATGTAAACTAGTTTTTTCGTTTAATAATACAAGAAAAATATCATATATATTATAACTTAACAAGAAATTATCATTTACTTATATATTCTGTCGGGGCGATTTTGTTTCCTCAACTGTATGTTACATATATTACTATTAGTATCGTTATGTATTACTAGGTATTACATTGATAAATTGAATAAATGATGTTTAAATTTAATTTTTAGTTATTGTTTTCTTTTCAAAATTATCATGAGGGCTATAATATGAAAGATGCTATAATATGAAAAGAAGCGATTTCATTTTTTTTTTCTTCGCCCTGGGGTAATAATATCAACATACCCAAAAATATTTGAACAAAGAAATTTAACAACAAGTTTATTTACAGGAGATACATTAGAAAAAATACGAGCAAACGAAGATTATTTCGTCGAAGAAAACAAGAAGAGGATCGTTGAAGCACTAAGACCTGGAAAACAGAAGACCATAGCTGATTTCTTTGATAGTGTCGAGGGCTCCTTCAAGAAACTGGAAATTGATTAGCATTAGATACAAGCGGAGTGTGAAGGGATTGTTCTACATAGACTGTGGATTGGTTGTGCTCTGTGCATTGCCAGCGTTACTGGTAGACACTAACTACGTACTTCAAGTTGTGATGAAATAAAAAATAAAGCCAAAACTTGAATTATAATAACTACTACTCTAACGCAAATGGGACATTAAATTCACTTGATAGATTAAGCAAAGTGACCCGCAATCTGAAGTGAACGCATTGAGCGGACGCTCCCCGCGTTCACATGAGGCCGTTGACCCCACGCTTCAACGAATTTTTGGATGCTCTACATTGCGCGTACTGCAAAAAGCGTTTTTAAATATTTTCATATCAGCATCAGAAGTACAATTTAATTTTGTTGACGAGACTTCGTCGACATAATAATGTCTACTACAGATGTAGAAAAAACCAAGATCTTTCAATCAAAATAGTGAATATTATTATTAACATCTCGGTATATTTAAATCGATATATTGACACTAGCTGACCCGGCAAACGTTGTTTTGTCATATATGCGCCATCTATTGATTACTTACTCAACCCAGTCGAAATGTATCGACATCTGTTAGAATCATTTGGAGTTAACAGATAATTGTGATTGTCAAATAATAACAGACAAATAATTAGCAATAAATTAAAATTGCGACTATAATTTGAGATTTAAACTATCCTATCTCTCAAGTTGGATCGAACTGCACATGGTGTGCGAATTTTATTATAATTATTCGGTTAAGTGTTAGGAGTCCATTGAGGACAAACATTGTGACACGAGATTTATATATATTAAGATATGCAAAAAATGACAATAAAACTCATATTTAGCTAAAACTGAGTGACAATATTTTGCATATAGTACATACGAGCTTCCCTTTAAAATAAAGTCCTTTTATATATTTCCCTACCTATTCTAGGGCATATTCTAGTTACGGACAGGCAAGATAATGCAAAAGATGTGTGTGAAATATGGCAAAATACTGATATAAATCAAATCTAATACCGGAGTTGATTTTTAAAAGAAAGCTCCAGATGTCAGTAAATAAGTTCATATTTTAGATTATTCAGCGAAAAATATCTATACTAATATTATAAAGAGGAAAGATTTGTTTGTTTGTTTGTTTCGAATAGGCTCCGAAACTACTGGACCGATTTGAAAAATTATTTTTCCATTAGAAGCCGACATTGCCCCTGATGAACATAGGCTACTTTTTTTAATTTTTTTTTTTTATTATATTTTTTTGGTTTCATGTGTGTTTTAATGTTTCCGAAGCGAAGCGAGGGCAGGTCGCTATACAGTATAAAATTTACACGCGAAAAATATTTTCGTTTACCCAATAAATAAATGTCTGAATAATGAAGGTAGAATTGATTAGTTTACAAATAAAGTATTTTTATCATAATTCTATGATTACTTGAACAAATTTTAATTCAAGTTGATTGGACAAATTCAAGTTCGTTAATCAATTTTGGATGTGCAGCATATATTTTATATTTTTTATTAAATTAACAAACACGCTACTTGGCAGTGCAATTGCCTCGAAAACAATTTACAAACAATTTTTCAAGGTTGAATTGCTTTGTGTATGTACTTGTAATTTTTTTGTCCCAACAATTTTTGTTGTTTTGTCTCCTCCGTGTTTTCATTAACAAAAATTATTTATTTATTTGTCAAAACTAAGAATAGTAATTAAAATATTTTAAATGCATTATAGTTTTTACTTATTCCAGTGCTTTGAAGTAAATATTTTAAAATTAAGCTTGTATTTTTAGAACGCTAACGAAGATAAGGGTTCGGAAGTACAGTTTTCGCTTTAATGCGAAGTTCCTTTTAAACTACTAATGGTGGTAGGACCGCCCTACTGGTGGTAGGACCGCTCTACTGGTGGTAGGACCGCTCTACTGGTGGTAGGACCGCTCTACTGGTGGTAGGACCGCTCTACTGGTGGTAGGACCGCTCTACTGGTGGTAGGACCGCTCTACTGGAGGTAGGACCCCTCTACTGGTGGTAGGACCGCTCTACTGGTGGTAGGACCGCTCTACTGGTGGTAGGACCGCTCTACTGGTGGTAGGACCGCTCTACTGGTGGTAGGACCGCTCTACTGGTGGTAGGACCGCTCTACTGGTGGTAGGACCGCTCTACTGGTGGTAGGACCGCTCTACTGGTGGTAGGACCGCTCTACTGGTGGTAGGACCGCTCTACTGGAGGTAGGACCGCTCTACTGGTGGTAGGACCGCTTGTGAGTCCGCGCCTGTAGGTACCATCGCCCTGCCTATTTCTGCCGTGAAGCAGTGATGCGTTTCGATTTGAAGGGTGGGGCAGCCGTTGTAACTATATACTTTATTTATATCTTATAAAACTTATATCTCAAGGTGGGTGGCGCATTTACATTGTAGATGTCCATGGGCTCCAGTAACCACTTAACATCGGGTGGGCTGTGAGCTCATCCACCCACCTAAGCTATAAAAAAAATCATTAATAGACTAAGGTATCCTATCATATTACTCATGACCTATGCAAGTGTAGTGTTCGCGCACGCGGCCCGCACCAACTTGAAACCCCTTCAAGTTATTCAATCCCGTTTTTGCAGGATAGCCGTCGGAGCACCATGGATCCTAAGGAACGTGGATCTTCATGATGACCTGGAGCTTGACTCAGTCAGTAAGTGTCTACAGTCGGCATCATTGCGCCCCTTTGAGAAAGCGGCACGACACGAGAACCCTCTCATCGTGGCCGCCGGTAACTACAACGCCGGCAACGCTACTAACGCCGGTATGAGCCACGTGAGCTCACCTACTAGTTCGGTGAATCTAGAATAGCCCCTCGAGGCTAATAGAATAGGTAGCGAAAGAAAAATTACTAACACTCAAGCTAATCTGATGCCAAATATATAAATAAAAAAAATACTGCGACACAGTTCATTATCATTAATTTTTTTCAATGAACTATTTTAAAAAAAATATTTTTCAGGAAACACAGAGCGTTTGTCCAGCAATGGGTGAACTTGTTATTTAAAATTAGGTATAACAATCAGTGTTTAGTTCGAGTTCTTTAACGTATTCGATAGCGTAAAAGTTAACTCAAATTTGTATGGAGTTGGAACGTTTGACTACGTTAGCCGCATTAGGGCGCATTAATAATGCACTCAAAACAGAAACAATCAGATTATGGAAAACACACACAGAAATAGTACCAATAGTAATAAGAGCAACCGGAGTTATAGCCAAAAGTCTACATAGATAAACTAGATGCTTACATCAACACACACCTCATGCAGAAACAAGCTGCCATACACACAGTCATCATCATCACGAAAGTCTTGGGAGATACAGTCTTCGTAGAAGAGAAAACTGAGCCACCCTTTCTCTGAGGATCTCGGGGCGGGAGCTCAGTTAACTGAGCCTAGAGCTCGAATATAGGATTATTTATATAATACGTAATTATACCTAATTTTAAATGACAAGTTCACTCACTGCTGCACAAGCGCTCTGTTATATCTCGACTTGGTATTTTATTTGGTACAGCTTGTCGCTGGAACTGGAGTGCACAGATTGTCGCTGAGGCAGCGCCTTGTTACGCCGCCTGTCATGTCGGCGGGTGCTTGAGGTGCTTGAGAGGCCTAAAAACACCGAGAGTGGGTCCGGGGAATCCGACATTCTTCGAGCGAAGACGGCCTTGCGTTGCCCGCGTCGCCTGGATCGAGAAATGAATTAGCGGCAACCACGATAAAAGGGTTATCACGGTACACTGCTTTGTACAAGTAGCGTTTTGAAGCTTTTTTTTCGGACGGGGGCCGAATCTTTTACAAGATATCTGCGCCCAGGAGGAACGCGGGTTGGATTGATTGGTCTGCAGCTGTTGGGAGCAGACCGCGTGCCCAAGTATATTTTTAGGACCCTACCGCAACAAACGATTCCACCTGGCACTCTCTCACCCGACGTCCGATCTCCACCCGGAGTCAGAATCCGATCAGAGTGGGCTCCCGCGGTCAACACTACGAACCAGACACGCGGCGCTACCCCTAGGACGCCCGACCGACGGATCCTCGAGGCGATCGTCGACGACCCACGACGCCGGTATCTACGGTACAGCGACCCGTGACGGAATATCCTGCTGGGTGAGAACCAGCCTGCCGGGTGGGAACGCGATACACCGCCGGCCTGGCTGCTCTTCCACAGTATATCAGTGACGAAAGCGACGACGGTAATGCGAATCACACCGCGGACCGCAGTCGCGGACGCGTGGTCCTAGAGTGACGGTAGCGTGCGGCACAGCTTCGACCGCCTCACGAAACTGCCTCCTCATAGAGCGTTCTGACGCTACCTTAAGATACTTACAAATCGGTTCTACATTTAGATCGTCGCGAAGGTCGACAATCCTCACGCACTACGGTGCCCCGACGGCTATCCTGCAGAAACGGGATTGAATGATCTGGAGAGAGTTTTTGTGCATGCGGACCCTCTGTGCGAACACTACACTAGCAGGTCATGACGGAATGTATGCAAGCTTACCTCTTGTGAGTTCACACGGGTAGGTACCACCACCCTGCCTATTTTTGCCGTGAAGCGTTTCGGTTTGAAGGGTGGGGCAGCCGTTGTAACTATATTGAGACCTTAGAACTCATATCTCAAGGTGGAAGGCCGTATTTACATTGTAAAAGTATACAGGCTCCGGTAACCACTTTACACCAGGTGGGCTGTGAGCTCGTCCACCCATCTAAGCATCAAAAAAAAGTTTTCTACAGTGTTCATTAACTTGTTATGAAGAAACAGTTTACGTCGCTTGCAGATCATGGGATTGCCATAAATATGCATACGGAGACGGTTCACATTCATTATTTTGACTGAAAAAACATCTCCGTTCTTTTACATCACCGAGTTGAGTCGAATTCGTCTTCAGTCGTTCTTGAGTCGGAGTTCGGCCACGAATATAATAATATTAATTTATTTATTTTTCTAAAAGATTATAGCACAAATACAAAATAACGTCAAAATTTGGTTTG